GATTATGTGGTATTGTGTGTGTAATATATATATGTGTGTGTGTGTGTGTGTGTGTGTGTGTGTGTGTGTGTGTGTAAAGGTCACAAACCAAGCTTTCACCATTTTCTTCAAAAGTAGCAGAAAAATGTCAAACATTCTCTAGTTATAGCTTCTTGAATTTCTGCATTATTGTAAACTGACAAAACAACATTACCTTCAAAAGTAACGAATTTTGATAAAGCAGCATTTCACCCAGTCTGTTGTTTAGCTGAGGTTGTAAGACATTAAAATCCTGAGTTCTCGTCTTGGAAGCCACAGTAGATCACTGCTTAAACTAGCCATTAAATTGAATATTAATCATTGGCTGTATGAAATTGCACATTAAGGTTCTTTATGCAGTTAAAGAAACCCATGTGATACTTTTTCAGACTGAGTTTTGGTTTGAAGAAGACATTCAATGATGTGGTACATGGTTGCTCCTTTAAAATGTCTGGTGGCTCAGTAAGAAGTTGCAGCAGCAACATCCTTAAAACTAGTTGTGCTAAACAGAAAAATAAACAATGAGATCTGAAAACCTAGTATGGAATTGCTAGCTTGTTTTATTGATCAGTCAGCTGATTGAAAATGAGTCTTCATTTCTTTCCACAGGGTCCAGAGTTCGACAAGGAAGAGGAGTCTGAGCTAACAGTGACTGAGCTGAGGGAGCGAATGTGTAAACAGAAGGCCATCCTAGAGAGGAGGATGATGGGAGATAGTTCTGATGATGAGAAGGAGGGGGTTGGGGAAGCTGGAAGCAGAGTTTCAAATGAAGACTTGGGCTGTTCATGGGGAATGGGTGAGTGTTTCTGATGCTCACAGGATTAAGCTACAGAATGTTACTTGTTCTCTGTGTCGACATATTGCTGTGTTGTCATTCTGAGTGAGTTTGTCAGCTTTTTCTAAAGGTGAGGAACTAAAGGACTAACCAAATGATTGTTCTCTCCTTTCACTCCATCTGTCCCTGTTAATCCACCCTGTAGCTGAGGAGGCTGTTCCAGAGGAAGACGAGAACGAGGAAAACCCTTTCTCCACAGAGTTCCATGAGGACCAGGAAGCTGCTTACCTGAAAGACCCAAAGAAGGCTTTGCAGGGCTTTTATGACAGAGAAGGTGCAAAAACGTAATCCACACATGTCTGGTTCTGCTCTTTTTTTGAGGGTCTTGAATTGCTTGAATTTAACTTTGTCGTTCTTTATTGTAGGGGAGGAGCTGGAGTTTGAGTATGAAGACAAAAGCCATGGCACTTGGCTCTGCAGAATAAAGTAAGGGATGAGAAACCCTGATTTATGATAGCAAAGACTTAAAAATATATTTTCTTGCTTTTATGTAAAGTATGTATAGAGCCGCACAGTTCACATTGATGTATCTGTTAGGCTGCCAGTGGACAATGCCATGGGCCAGCAGCTGGTCGCTGAGGTGACTCACATGGGAAAGAAGAAAGAAGCAGCCATCCAGTGCTGCCTGGAGGCCTGTCGAATGTTGGAAGCCAGAGGGTTGCTGCGCCAGGAAGCAGGTGTGAACTTTGCTCCAGTGAGAACTCTGAACATGGAATCATGAACCACTATCTGGAGATGTTATATCTCATTGTGGGAGCTATAATAATAGTTTTCCCCGTTTTGTTTGATTTCTAGTGTCCCGTAAGCGCAAGAAGAAGAACTGGGAGGATGAGGACTACTACGACAGTGATGATGACACGTTCTTGGATCGAACTGGCACAGTGGAGAGGAAGAGGCAGGAGCGAATGAAAAAAGCTGGGAAAACTGAGGAGCGGCCTGAGACCTACGACTCACTGGTAAACTACGTCCTTTTTTTTTTTTTTTAAACTCAGGTTACACATGCAGTTTTGCAGATGTTTGGTTATAAACCAATGCATTTTGGACATTTTTAGTATTTGGTGAATTTTGCAGAGCAGAACATGCAGCAGGATCAGTGGATGGGCTTCTGTCACTCTTATACAGTCATGGCCAGAAATATTGGCACCCCTGCATTTTCTGTCAGGTGTCTCTAAATTGCCCATAGGAGTGCATGTGCGTGTGTGTGTGGTTGTTCGTCTATGTGTTAGCCCTGCGATGGATTGGCGACCTGTCCAGGGTGTACCCCGCCTTCGCCCGATTGCCGGCCGGGCTTTAAAAGCACAAACCTAATAAACCACACATCTCCTTCCTGTCAAAATAATGCAGTATATGTAGAAATGCAGGTGCTCTTCATACAGGGAGCTGCTTTTTGTACTGGAAATAATATAAAATGTTTCCCATGTCTTTGGAAACAACTATACTCTAAGGTGAATAAATGTAAAAAGTATTTGTACCATAATGATATACATGTATTTCTGTGGTATCATTCATGTATTTGATTTGCATGTAGGTGGCCAAGCTATCAGAAGTGGAGAAGGAGCTGGCAGACACCCAGAAGAAGCTCAGTGCTGTTCAGGGAGGTGAGTCCCTTCACTGTCCTGTGGTCACATCCACACTGCACCTATAGAAGTACTGTATGTTCTCCTTGTGTAATTGCCTGGAATATCCCTGCTCTTAGATTCTTCTGGCTCTTCCACTGAGGACCCCCTGGATGCCTTTATGACAGCAGTGAGAAGTCAGGCAGCGATAGACGCTGTGGAACGCAGGAAGCTTCATGTTCATGTGGCCGACTTGAGCAAAGATGTTCAGAGGCTCCGCAAACTTCTGGAACTTACCCGGCCTGCACAGATGCCTCCACTGTTACAGAGGTGACTCACAGTGCTGCAGTCATGTATCTACTTGATTTTTCCAGTTTATCCCAGAAATTTGTTAATGGTATTTTTGTGTAATTTCATTTTTGGAAAAAGTCATGAAATGTCATCAAATTGTACCTGTGTGAAGGACAAAGTACAAAAATGCGTTTTATAGTATCTATGAAACATCCTCTGGAGTTAAATGGAATTGCTGGAATTCCTGCCAAAGGCTTTTACCTCACTATGTATTAGACCACATTTAAACAATTCAGTGATATTTGCATGTGTGTTGGTGTGATCGTGGCAGCTCAGAGCCAGAGAAGCCCAAGAAGGCCTTACCACTGTTTGGAGCCATTAAGGGAGGAAGCAAATTCAAACTGAAGACTGGCACTATTGGGGTACATGTTTATTTTGTTTTGATCTCAGTCTAAACATCTGGCAATTAAACAATGCATTTCTTTTCTGCCTTAGCCTCAGCCACTTTGTTGCTTTCCTCTGTCTTGTAGAAGTTGCCTCCTAAGCGGCCCAGCTTGCCCGCAGAGCTCTTCAACATGAAAGAACTTCCACCTGGTGGAGAAGAGGAGGAGGAAGAAGAAGAAGAGAAGGAGGCAGAGAAAAAGGAGGATTGTGATGATAAACAGTGTGCAAGAATAGCTGAGTCTAATGCTGAATCTGCGGAGCCCAGTACATCCATGTCTGAAGAGAGCACTCCCTTGGGGCAGCCAGCAGAGCAACCAGTACAGTGTCATAAGTTGAAAGGTGAGGTGTGAAAAAAAAAAAAAAAAAAACATAAAAGGGGTTTACTACTGGGGGAAAGGAAATAGGCAACAATGAGGAAACTATCAATTTATCTTATGGCCACTGGGTGGCAGTAGATCTGCAATACATACAAAACATGCTTTTTTGTATGTATGCCTCCAGATGCATTTAGGCACGGTTTGTAGTTTTATAATTTTTTTTTATTCTAACAGGGACTATCAAATGCTAAGTTCTGCTTTGTCATATTCTGTTTTTGCATTTTAGGTGCCTATATCTGTCCCTGTGACTCTCACTTTCAGTGGAAAATTCATGAGGGAATTTGTGTTCATCTAGCAGATCAGTCCAGATCATCCAGTTTTTATTCTTTCACATCAGAGCAAAGCCACACACAGAGCGGAAGTGAAGAGTCTGAAGCAGTGGAGCTGTTACCTCAGCACAGGAGCAACAAGGCTCTAGGACCATCCCGTCCAGGTGGGTGATGTGTTTTGTCACACACTTGGATGTTGTGCGATAGGGCTGGCAGAAGTAGTCACAGCTGTAAAACTTAAAAACAGCACTATAACACCCTCTATTACAAGTAGAAGTCCTTAATTCAAATTTTGTCTTAAGGAAAAGAGAACAGAAGTGTTTGTAACAAAAGTATTTAAAGTACAAACCCCAATTCCAATGAAGTTGATATTGTATAAAACGTAAATAAAAACAATACAATGACTTGCAAATCCTTTTTGACCCATATTTAATTGAATACACCACAAAAACAAGATATTTAATGTTCAAAGTGATAAACTTTGTTTTTAGCAAATATTGACTATTTTGAATTTGATGCCTGCAACACATTCCAAAAGAGCAGAGACAGGGGCAACAAAAGACTGGGAAAGTTCAGAAATGCTCAAAAAACACCTGTTTGGAAACAGTCCACAGGTGAACAATTTATTGGAAACGGGTGAGCGTTTTTATTATTGGATCATTTTTTAACCATTATCATTAAGCTGTATTTTCATGTTTTTGCTGGGCAAGGTAAAGCTCATTTAAACACTTTATATGCTTTTTGCCCAAGTTATTTTACAGTATTGCCACATATTTTATTAATTCATGTTTTGTATGTCAGTTCTGAAATTGAAAAGAAACTAATAAATAATGCTGTCAAAAAGTGTAGTGATGTAAAAAGTGCAATATTACCCTGTGAAATGGCATAAAATGGAAATTATCGTCTAGTACAAGTACCTCAGAACTGTCTTTGAGTAAATGTATTGTGTATGGATTGTTGTGTAAATGGTACTGGTGGTGCATGTCTAATGTAGCGTGTCTATGTCTCCAGAGTCCAGGGCAGAAGGAGAGGGAAAAGCAGCAACAGAGTCCAGGCCCAGAAAGAATGTGAAGCAAAGGGTGATGGGCCCCAGCAAGGTAGGCCCTCACTCACAGGAACACACACCTCAGTCCTCATATAGAACAGTGTGACACAAGTTGAATTTGTCCACAGCCTCCGGTGCAGCTGTCAGCACAGTATCCAGAGGATGACCCAGATTATTCCATGTGGGTGCCTCCTACAGGTAAACAGCCTGAATCATATGACCATGACTGACTGAGCCTTTGCAAAATGAATCGTTGACAACTGGATACATCACCAGTTCCTTTCTCATGCTTTCACAGTGAAGAAATGGGCCTCTGTCTTGTTCTTTCTCTGTCTTGATTAACTCTGACAGACATTGAGAGGGTTGCATATGCCTGGGCTGCTGAGCTGAGGAACGAAGGGGTGTGTGGGGAGTGTTTTTAAGTGCACAGTGAGAAGGAAACGCTTTAATGGTCCATTTGTGCAGCTGAATTTGCAGCCACATTTTTGTTGTTTACTGAAGATCAAAGTCACTTAAAATGATAAGTTTGAATAAAACCAGCTTTGAAAAGGCTGCCAGACTGAGTTTGGATTCAGGATGAAGACTGGTTGCTGTACTTCATTTTAGGACAGTGATTGGTTTGATGTTGAGGTTTGCAAACACACAGGGCAGCAGTTAGTCTGTAATTGTAGGCAGCAAATATACAGCAGCACTCTGATGGCTATGCAGCACAGACTTTATTCCATAAGGAGATCTGTGTGACATTTCAAGCATCTTGGCATCAGCTTCTTTCATTTTGTCTTATGTAGGCTATCATGATAAAAACATGCATTTGTGTGTGTATAGTGTGTGTGGAATCTTTTGATGCTAAAACTTTTTCTTCTCATAGGTCAGACTGGAGATGGACGCACACATCTAAACGACAAGTACGGTTACTGAGGGAAAACAAGAGCTCCACGGTGTCCACTCCACCAGCTTTTATACTGCAGATAGTACCTGCAACACAAAGCCTCCAGTCTGGTTAGCTCTGACCATTAACCCCCTCAACCCATCGCAGTCTGTATGTGGGATTCATCTTAGAAGAGCCTAGAACAGACCAGGGAATTACAGTGATAATGCTACACCTTTCATTCATCTCTTGAGAATATTTGCATTCTCAGACTGTGGAAAAACACTATTAAACAGGCATGCTTAGGGAAATGTCCCCTCAGAGCAGACACTGGGCAGTCAGCCTGCTGGCACTTCTCACCCGTAACAGTAATAGAGATGGATGGCACCTGAATTTTGTCTTTTTGATTTGTCTTATATCACCCAAGCAGAAAAGAGAAAGGGACAGAGCAGGACAGGTATCTGATCAGAGTCCAGCTTTCTGGTATTTGGCTGCATCCTCTTAGTTAAATCCACCTGACATCTAATCTGCGTGCCTCCCCTGCGTGGCTTCAGCCGATCGTTGGCATAACCTTTTCTTTTTTCCAAAGGAGAGCATGTAGCAGGGAGGGAGAAAGAGGGAGAGCATTGAAGCAGCTTTTCTGACCATCTGGACACTTGGATGGCTTATTGGATGAAACACAAGCTGATAATGACTCAAGCTAAGTGGAGTGTGTGTCTGTGTCTACACTGGCACACGCACACACACATAGCCCAACCTTCTCAAAGTTCTCTTTATAACAAGATTGTCTTTATGAGCGAGTCAGCTGTTGGTGTGTGCTTGCCTGGAGCAGGATTCCTTGCTTTGTGAAATCCCACTCAGTGCTGTTCTCTTGGTTTACTGCCACACTCTCCATCTTTCCTGTTGTCTTTTCACAAAACACAAAGTAAAGAAAGTGTATTTTGTTATCAGAATGTATAATAAAATTGAATGTGCTCTAAGTTTTTTACTAAACACTGGCCCGATTATAGCCCAGTATATCCCTAGATTTTCCAGCTATCCATCACTACTTCACACCCAACACAGCTTTGACGTCAGCCTTTCTTTTCCTCTCTTTCAAGCCCTCTCGCAAACGCAAAGAGGCTTGTGGTTTTGGCTGCGGATTGTTGCTGTGATCTACTACGCACAGATGGAAACCACTCTTCCCTGTCTTAAACACACGAGAGGTCCTCTGTCCCCCCCACCTTGCAGAGCCTTCTCATAGTCTGCAGGTGATGCTGCACTTAGTCACTCAGATAAAGGGCAAAGTGTTGAACAGAGCTACTTGGCATACTAAGTCAGTTTTCAGGAGTAAATACTGTAGGTCCATTCTCGTCACCCTGGCAAGTCTGGGCTAAATGGAATTTTGTCCATTTGATTTATGTGCAAGGTTAGTGAACAGTCCCCTATTTATGCATCCAGGAGATACACAGCAACATTCATGCTGAATTAGAGAATGGATCGGGCTATGCATTTACATCCGAACCCAACCTGTGGCCAGGAGTATGGCATCTGTACCTGTCCCAGACCTAACAAATGCATAAAAAAAAAGCTATGTTTTGTTGTGTCGAGGTAAACTGCACACTTGGGAGATTAATCTCTCTGTGCGTGTAATAATTGGATGCATTGTCAATATAAAAACACTGATAGTGCAGTTTTAAAAGTTCACTACTAACATGTCTGGGAGAGATCCATGCATCTATTGTTAAATAAGCAACTACTGAGCTTTAAGGAGCACAAAACAACCACTAGGTATCTTGCAACATAAACATGATGACACAATAAAGACAAAACCAACAAACTGTTGTAGTAAGGGGAAATGGCTTTAGTGCTTCCTGGTAAGAAAGTTGCTCATGCAGTTGTCCAGGTTTTCGCATTAACTTGTCACCTGTCTGTTAAAAGTTAAATAATATATTGATCCAAGTAAAAATAACCTAAACAAGAGGGCATTTATTGATTCATTTTTGTGCAACAGTGGACAAATCATGTCACAATGTTAAAGTCACATCAGCAAAATCTGTGTTACAGTGGTGATATGTTTAATCAACTAACCAGCTCATTTCAGGAGCCGAGAACGACATGTTTGATTCAGTACAACAGGAATATCATTTCAAGGTATTGAGATCTTTAGAAAACACTGGGATGTCTTACATGTACCAGTGGTCCTCTTCTATCTAGAAAGTAATGAGGTGCAATACTGGGAGGAGGTGGCACACTACAAGTAGGCTATGCATATCACAGCACAGTTACTTGCCAAATGTGCAGCAAAATATTCTTCCTTTTTAACCTCCATATATGGAGGTTAAAAAAAACGGTGGAATTCATGCAAGGAAAGAGGATAGTACGCAACGTTGACCTGGACTAAAAAGTGACAAATTCATTAAGAAGCGTACATCAAAGGTCAACTATTCAACTACAGTCATACATGTTTGTTATAACTGGTCAAGAGCTGCATATTCAATAACATCCAAAGAAGTTTTTCAGACAGATGAATGTAACCACTGTCTATGTTCATGTCAACAAGATATCAGATGACTCACCTCACCATGTTTAATATATGAAAGTTACCAAGAACCTTACAAGATGTCCAGTAATCACATCAAAGGAAGAAACCTTGGAACCATTTGATTGTCTTACATGCATTATTTCTTGAAACTGATCCAATCCAGAGCTAAAGTCTGGTTTCAAAATGGTTGGCCTTGTCCCTGTGTAACATTCATGGTCCACAGTTTGGATTTGTTTCTTGATCATTCTTCCTCCAATCACAGGATCTTTTCAGAGATGGTATACATATGCTATACCTGATGCATCCTTAGAAATGTGGTGTCTAGGCCATTGTACTCTCCAAATTGTCCTGTTGATTTACATGTGGAGAACAATCATCAAGTGACAGCATTACAGGGTGGGATTACCTGAGTGTGCAATAGTTCCACCATCTAACAACTGTCTCTCTGCCAGTCAGTTTCATAGCAGTCATTCCTTGGTCTTGCTGCAGAAGCCACAAAAAAGACATCTGGGAATGAAGTGGAGAATTATCTGGCATTGGATGAATTTCCTTATGAGCACGGAGGATCATCTGACGGGGTCAAAGGACTGCAGGGGGGTACTGTGCTCAAGGAGCGGAAGGCGAAAATGGAGGGATCGTAGGTGTACCTGGACAGGGGGCTAATTTTAGACAGAGGGCTTGTAGGGTTGTACAGGGGACAACTGCTCATCAGATTCTGAGGAAAGAGAGAGAGAGAGAGATATGGGGCATGTGGATTAGTCCAGATTTTGAGCTTTATATAATGTGCACAATTATCTGCCTGAGTTATGGTGTTATTGCTCAGCTACTGTACATACGTCATTTCACATCAAGGAGGACACTGGCTTACCTGGCTGAATTAGAAATGTGTGGCTGTGTCATAAGCCTGAGTAATGTTACTGCAAACCAAACTAGCAGTGGTGTGTAAATGACTGCGCCTCGTTAGAACATTTTCACAGTGAGTTTTTTTCATTCACACTGCAGGGTCAGTGACATACAGTAAATGCTTTCCCACTCACAGAGACGGCCCCCTGTGAGCAGAACCTTGCTTTGTGCAGCCCTGCAAGCCCTCTGTCTAAAACTAGCCCAGGGAATTTTCATCCATACAGGAAAGACAGGAAATGGCTTTGTTGGATTTGGCAGTGAAGTAGCACTTTCTCCAGAGCCCACTGAGCGGGAGTGAAGTTTATGAGAAGGTGGACTGAGGAAAACGAAGACCTGAAGACAGATTAACTGATTAGAAGCCGATCCCATGAAAGGGCATGCGTGTTGAATAGGCTTATAGTATATTCTCAGTGTTAACCGAGATGCATCCCTGTGACTGATTCCATTCAGATGCTACTGGAAAACATAAACAGGGACATTATAGCACACATGCACAAAGTCAGAGCATATGAGGCTACAGGTGTTGCTATGACATCAGCCACAGTCTTCAGAGATTCGGCATTGACAACTGAACCACAGCAACAATTCCCAATACCACTTGGACCTATTTTTTCCTCTGGTATAAATACAAATGGGCAAACACTGAGAAGTGGAAAAACAAATCACAGCCCAAGAACAAGTTACAGCTACCATATGGACAACATCTTAACAGTTCAACTTCTGACTAGTTCACTATAACTCAGTCCAAGTGTATGCACATCATACATTAGGATGGCTCCCTGTACATGTTAGCAGTCACTGTAGAGCTTCCCATGGTTAGATCTGCAGTATGACCAATATGTAGGGCCCAACAAGTCAGGCAAAGTATGAGTCCCAAATGTGCAAGTCTCTCAGTCTGTGGAGACATCAAAAGTTGCAGCTGGAGGCTAAGATAAAACACCAGGCTAGTTAGAGGTCTCCCTTTTTGAGCAACATTTGGTCCCCCAGTCTGCAAATTTAAAATGTCCACACTGTTACCAGCCTTCAAATAAATAGTTCAAAAATTTGGGAAATGCAAAAGCAGATTTGTCAGGCACAGGCCCAGGTGCCCAAGGCCTCACATGGGACCCTGAACTGGAGCCTGTGTATGAAGTGATTTTTACTAAAGGTTCTTAATGGGAAGTTAATAGCTCAGTCACGTGCTGATTGTGGGTCTTTTTTTTTTTTTTTTTTTTTTTTGCTTCTTTAAAATAGTGCATTCGCCCACACCAAGTGTAACTGGACATTTATTTGTGATAATGCGAAGGTTGCTTTCTTACACAATTCAGCAACATTGTACATAAAGGTCACATTCAATTAGTGCAACCATTAAATGTGTCAGGAAATAGAATCATTATGCTTTAAGAAAACAGAACCTGCAACACAGGGTATCACATCCATGAATACATTAACATTTCATCCTGTGCCCTGTGGTATTTTGTATTTGTAGTGAGAAGGGTCACTGTGCAATCTGTTGTGCTACATAACTTTAATCCTCAAAGTTGTGTAGCACAACAGATGCACAGCAAGGAAAAAAAACTTATTTCCCAAAATGACTATTACTTTAACATCTGTTTGGACCAAAAATGTCTTTCAGTCCCATTTAAACCATGTAAATGACCTCAATAAAAAGTCAAAGGGGTTTGGAGCACATTGTCCTTCAATTTACTTTTCCCCTCTCACTCTCTCCATTATCTGCACCATCTTCCTCATCTCAGTCATTCTTGGTCCTCCTCTGCATCTGTTTTGAAGCCAAATTCCATCAATCTTGTCTGCTACAGCCTGGGAAGCTCTTACCACTCTCCTTTTCACCTCAAACCACTGGAGAATAAAAGCAGCAACCGCAGCGGCCAAAGCTGTGTTTTCCTGATGCTTCCACATGACCCCCTAAATATACACACAGAGTATAACCATCGAGTTGCTCAACCCCTGTAACAACTCCCATGCTTAAATCTAGTCTCAAATTTGGGGCCCCATCCTGATCCAGTTTCTCCTCTAGCCAGGTAACTGAGGGCTGACAAATGAAAGGGATAGCAGCTGAGAAAAGAGAACGAGCAATGAACTCTCTCTATGAACTAGAACATACCCAGAGCCCACAGACATCACTAACGGGGGGGGACAACACTACCAACTACACCAGCGAGAACGCAGGACAATGAGCAATATCTCTAAGTATCAGCGGAGCTAAACAGACAGCAGCCGGCCAGGCTATAAATGGAAAATGACTTCATCCCTGGAAATACACCACAAGGGAACCACACAACACTCCACCTCCTCTTCCGCCTCCTAAGTTCCATCTCTCATCTCTACTCACTTGTTCTTTATAAAACACAGTCAAATATGAATTTTTTTTTTTTTTTTTTTACTTTTCTGTTCTGCCCATACATACCATATACATATGGTAAACTGGAACAACCAAGATCCTGTTGCAGTTGGTGCATGTGTACAGTGTGTGTGTGTGTGTGTGTGTGCGTACATAAACAAGCGTGTGATAAGTTCCATTGACACTAGCCCACACAATGTGATGATAACGTCACTTTTCTCACCACACTGTTCATCCTTCTGGAGTAGCCTGCTCTGTGCCAAGGTGCCCAGGCTTGTGCCAGTTGACTCTCTTGCATTCTTCCCTTACCCACTCCAAACTAAATCAACCCATACACTGTTGAAGTGCCGAGTGGTTAGATGATGACTGTACGTTGTTTGGAAAACTACTAAACAGGAAGATCAATCAGGACCCAATCTTGGGGTATATACCTTTTTGTTTACAAAGCTATTTACCTGGATAAATATGCATTTCTAAGATGAATAGTGGAAAGGGACAAGTGGAAAGCTGGGCTATTTAAAGTTAAGTGAGATCGAGAGATCCCACCAACCTGAACGAGAAACAAGCACATTTTCCTCGTTTAAAAAAAAAAAAGAGTGTCAAGCTCGGTTTGCTGTTTGCAGAAGAAATCCAACAGAGAGATCAGATTTTCAGACATCTCAGGCATAGCTCTGTTACTAGCAGAGGGCATGGGAACAAACGCTGCTGCCAGATGCTGTCCCAGTATGGAGCTGGATGGACATCAAGGTGCTGGTAACAAGACAGCCTGGACTGTTCACGGAGGCCAGGCAACCTTGCAACCTTATCACTGCTGTAATGGACACCCTGATCTGGACTACCCATTATGGCTCTGCATAATAGGAAAGGCTATATGTGCAAGCATGTGCTTATTCAAATGAATACCACTTGTATAAACAATTTATCTTTATGACAGCAGTCACACAACCTAAATTGTTTGGATTCATCATGATATAATAGGACAAGAGGCGTCTGTTCCATCTGCTGTGAGAAACTAACTTGGATAAAAATGAACTCACCCGAATCTTCATAGTCCGCGTTTTGCCCGCCCAGTTCTTTTTCAGCAGCATTTTCTGTGGAGAACAAGAATGCACAATGACAGCTATACAGGTGCTGGTCATATAATTAGAATATCATCAAAAAGTTGATTTATTTCACTAATTCCATTCAAAAAGTGAAACTTGTATATTATATTCATTCACTACACACAGACTGATATATTTCAATGTTTATTTCTTTTAATTATGATGATTATAACTGACAAACCAATGAAAACCCCAAATTCGGTATCTCAGAAAATTAGAATATTACTGAATACCAATACAAAGAAAGGATTTTTAGAAATCTTGGCCAACTGAAAAGTATGAACATGAAAAGTATGAGCATGTACAGCACTCAATACTTTGTTGGGGCTCCTTTTGCCTGAATTACTGCAGCAATGCGGCGTGGCATGGAGTCGATCAGTCTATGGCACTGCTCAAGTGTTGTGAGAGCCCAGGTTGCTCTGATAGTGGCCTTCAGCTCTTCTGCATTGTTGGGTCTGGCATATCGCATCTTCCTCTTCACAATACCCCATAGATTTTCTATGGGGTTAAGGTCAGGCGAGTTTGCTGGCCAATTAAGAACAGGGATACCATGGTCCTTAAACCAGGTACTGGTAGCTTTGGCACTGTGTGCAGGTGCCAAGTCCTGTTGGAAAATGAAATCTGCATCTCCATAAAGTTGGTCAGCAGCAGGAAGCATGAAGTGCTCTAAAACTTCCTGGTATACAGCTGCATTGACCTTGGACCTCAGAAAACACAGTGGCCCAACACCAGCAGATGACATGGCACCCCAAACCATCACTGACTGTGGAAACTTTACACTGGACCTCAAGCAACGTGGATTCTGTGCCTCTCCTCTCTTCCTCCAGACTCTGGGACCCTGATTTCCAAAGGTAATGCAAAAGTTACTTTCATCAGAGAACATGACTTTGGACCACTCACCAGCAGTCCAGTCCTTTTTGTCTTTAGCCCAGGTGAGACGCTTCTGACGCTGTCTGTTGTTCAAGAGTGGCTTGACACAAGGAATGCGACAGCTGAAACCCATGTCTTTCATACGTCTGTGTGTAGTGGTTCTGGAAGCACTGACTCCAGCTGCAGTCCACTCTTTGTGAATCTCCCCCACATTTTTGAATCGGTTTTGTTTCACAATCCTCTCCAGGGTGCGGTTATCCCTTTTGCTTGTACACTTTTTTCTACCACATCTTTTCCTTCCCTTCGCCTCTCTATTAATGTGCTTGCACGCAGGGCTCTGGGAACAGCTAGCCTCTTCTGCAATGACCTTTTGTGTCTTGCCCTCCTTGTGCAAGGTGTCAATGGTTGTCTTTTGGACAACTGTCAGGTCAGCAGTCTTCCCCATGATTGTGTAGCCTACAAAACTAGACTGAGAGACCATTTAAAGGCCTTTGCAGGTGTTTTGAGTCAAATAGCTGATTAGAGTGTGGCACCAGGTGTCTTCAATATTGAACCTTTTCACAATATTCTAATTTTCTGAGATACCGAATTTGGGGTTTTCATTGGTTGTCAGTTATAATCATCAAAATTAAAAGAAATAAACATTTGAAATATATCAGTCTGTGTGTAATGAATGAATATAATATACAAGTTTCACTTTTTGAATGGAATTAATGAAATAAATCAACTTTTTGATGATATTCTAATTATATGACCAGCACCTGTACAT